TTCCCAAGGCACGTGATGACGTCACAGACTACATAAGGGTACATTTTTCAAAAATGAAAAAGTTGTTAAAAATGTAAACAAATAAATAAAGCACTTCTTGGTTAAAATATACCTAGGGACTGTTATGGTCATAATGAACAACTGCCCCGGAGTTCAGTTTTAACTGTCATTTACATGTTTGATTTCTCTCCTTTTCTTGGTTGACGCTTGGAACTGGCAGACGGCAGAATGAAAGCTGATGATGTCCTCTGTGGATTAACATTCCCTGCAGACATTGTCACCCTCTGGATTGTTAATAGTAAACTCGGCTGTGTAACCTCTGTCCTGTATACATATGTATGATTCACATTATAATGGATGGAGCTTTGCTTTAAAGGCAGGGGCTATTGAATAAATGAGGCCCGAGGAATGGCAGCAGCCACTGTTTTATCTTCCTTGGCTTATATTCATGATTGTTAGTGTCATATCTTTTACTTGTCATTCCCGTGGAACAGGTGACTGTGCATTGTACTCGGGTTGGACAGCTGTAATGGTAAAAATAAATATTTTATTAGCAATGGATCATTTTGTAGGTTCAGCTGTGCGCTGTTTGCAGATCGGCTTCTGATATTTTCTGAGAGTATAAACAGTGTCGTCCAACTTGTGGGCCAAGACCTGGCCAGCTGCCTCACTATGTTTTTTGGCACTTTTCCCTGGACTTCCAGCAGTCCAGCTCTGCCAGTACGCCGGTCTTCCCAGAGCATTGGCCTATGGCTTGTGCTGTGGGTGACGTTACCTCTGAGCATTCGTGCGGTTTTCTATCACTCAGAGTTTTGCTTCGATCTGATCGGGCCTTCCCAGACATAAATTGGCTCCGTCATGAGCCCACTGATATCGCTTTTAGAGCCAAAGAATGTTTAGGAATACTGGGCCACAGCGGAGAAGCAAATTGGATTACTGCTCTGAGACAGCGGTAATATCCCCCACCATGGCACCGATGGAAAGAGAAAACAGGGCGGCCTGTCTGTAACGGTGTTGTCTCTCTTATGTTCACCGAAAACATGCAACTGCTAATCTGCATTCTTCTTCAATTATGTTTTATTATTTTGCAGCTTTTTAAATATTCATGCTGGTAAATGTAAGTGCAGAATAAATACCTGGTGATCCTGTCAGTCTCTTCTATGCTGCAGGATTTTCTGTTCAGAGCTGACCACACTAACCATAGATTCATATCTGTGGTAGCATTGTCAGCTTGCGTCTTTCATTGTGATCTATGCCATTCATATGCACTGGTGCCTCTAAAACACCCTAAAGCGCCCCACCAAGGGCGCGGTGTCGCCGCTGACCAGTCTTCTTTCAGCACCCGGTCTTCCTTCCTGGTTTGCAGGGCTTCCAGCCATTTGAGTGGCTGCGCCATGATGACGTCAGTCTCGTGCGCGTGCACACAGGAGCTGTGGCACACAGCAGAGCGCTCTGAAAGGACCGCGCGCCGTTCCTTCAGAAAACCGTGTGCATGCGCCAGTGATGTCACTGGCTGCGTAAGTAATGAATATCTCCTAAATGGTACTCGTTTGGGAGATCTTCCTTGTACCTATGGGTAAACAGTATTATAATCTTTATACCTGTAGGTACAATTCAGTAAAGCGTGGTTACTACTGCTTTACTACGGCTTTAATTTGGCTGCAGCTGCTGATCAAGACGTTTTACTACATTCCCATTTAACAGAAGCTGATCTAAACTATCGTCCTCTCTTGGGCGGCCACATATTTATTTATTTCAGGTACTTATATAGCACCGTTCATTTACGCAGCGCTTTACACATATATATATTGTACATTCACATCAGTCCCTAACCCTCAAAGGGGTACAATCTAAGGTCCCCAACTTACATTCATACATACACATACTAGGGACAATTTTTAGACAGGAGACAATTAACCTACCAGCATGTCTTTGGAGTGTGGAAGGAAACCGGAGTACCCAGAGGAAACCCACGCAGGCACAGGGAGAAACGTGCAAACTCCAGGCAGGTGGTGCCGTGGTTGGGATTCGAACCGATGACCCTAGTACTGCCAGGCGGAAGTGCTAACCATTTAGCTAACTGTGCTGCCCTACATATGGATTGAAATTCATCTGGTCCCTGCTTGAACCATCTAAACTTATGTCCAGCTTAAAGTGTTTTTAAATCCTTACATATACCCAGTGAAGTGACTGGCCTCAAATGATACACAGAGATTAAACAAAACCTCCTACATATGCTGAACCTGTTTATCTGCAGCCATCTCTTCTGTAGATTGTTTTAAAACACACAAATCAAAAGGATTTATTCTTGGCTGTGACAGCAAGGGGCTGGGATCTGAAGTCCCACAGTGCATATCTCAGTGAGGGGAGTTCTGAGCCCTGATTGGAGGGAAGTGACCCACACCCTTTACACAGTACACAAAACATGCAGAGCTAAGGATATGAATCACAGGCTGTGTGTTGAGCATCTCCTCACCTTTTTATCTCTTGGTGTCTGGAAAAGCTGTCAAAAGTGACTCACAGGTAACAGAAATCACAACTCAGTGCTTTGGATAGGAGGCAAGTACACTGTGTAGAGGGTTGTGTATTGTTTATATTTTGTCTGTTGGTCACTGAAGTTCTTCACAGTGCTAAAGAATTTCTTAGTGATTTTGATGTACCTGATGGCTTACACTGTACACAAAATCACAGGGACTTGTCTGTCAGAATTAGTATTGTCTACAGCTGGGCTGAAGAAAGATAGATTTATTTATTTCATTTAACTGACAGGCTGAATGAAGAACAAAAGTAAAACTCATTCCTCCAGCCACACAAATTAGGTGGATGGAAGAATCCCCCTACTGAGAATTTGTATTCTGACAGTCGGACCCCCTTCTCTCCATTGTCATACCAATAAAACTGCTGGTTTTCCAGCATGACCCTTCAACAATAATCGATCAATCGTCTTTTGTCGAGCTGGAACGGCCACACACTTTTTGAAACTGGGCCAGGCTGTGCTCTACTGACCAAAATTGGATCAGTGTATGGCCAGATTAAGTTGGTATTTAAGCCATAAAGGACCTCTTGTTTGCATTGTACAGTAGACATGCAGCTATAATGGTTAAAAAATAAATATATTTAAAAAAATAAATATACTGGGGCAGCACAGTGGCTAAATGGTTAGCAACTTCCGCTTGGCAGTACTTCAGATCAAACCATGCACGGCACCACCTGCCTGGAGTTTGCATGTTCTCCCTATGCCTGTGTGGGTTTCCTTTGGGTACTCTGGTTTCCTCCCACGCTCCAAAGACATGCTGGTAGAGTAAATGGATCTTGTCTAAATTGGCCCTAGTATGTGTATGTATGAATGTAGGGACTGATGTGAATGTACAATATATATGTAAATTGCCACATAAATTGACAGCTCTATATAAGTACTTGTAATAAATAAAATATGCCTTTACACGCACTTGAACTTTAATGGCATCCCTGCCTTAGTCCGTAGGGTTCAATTTTGAGTTGGCCCACCCTTTGCAGCTATAACAGATTCAAATCTGACCCCGCTCTGTCATGTGACGAGGCCTACCACTTCATGGCTGAGTTGCTGTTGTTTCCAGTTGCTTCCACTTTGTTATAATACCACCAACAGTTGACTGTGGAATATTTAGTAGCAAGGAAATGTCACAGAGGGAGTTGTTGCACAGGTGACAACCTATCACGGTACCACGCTTGGAGTCACTGAGCTCCTGGTAGCGACCCATTCTTTCACAAATGTTTGTAGAAGCAGTCTGCATGCCTAGGGGCTTGATTTTATACACTTGTGGCCATGAAGGTGATTGGAACACCTGAATCCAATAATTTGGAGGGCTGGCCCAATACGTTTGACAATATAGTAAGTATGTGTTTGTGTGTGTACATTAATTTATTTTAGGAGAAATGGGTAATTTCTTAGGCTCAGTTGTATCGTCGAGCTGATTTTTAATACCACCTTGTATGCCAGGCTTGATTCACTAATATTGATTTTTATAACGCCACTAATATCTTTATCTCTTATGTTTCTACTAAAAATGTTCAGTTCACAAACATAAGTGTCAGCAAGTTGTCAATTTTTACTTTTTTGCGTGAAATGAACATGTGACAGTTCATCTATTTAATTTTTTACCATCCTGAAGTTGGTGTTATTTAGGGGTTAGAATTTGTGTGTTAAAGTAAAAGTTCACCTTTCTACAATTATTGTTTTGTAGTAGGAGCCTGTAAAGCATTGCACCAACGATCAGCAGATAACTGATGCCATGCAGGTCTCCTGCAGACTGTCAGTATATTTGTTTGCTCATATATCCTGTAGGGCAAGCCGATACTTCTGACAGGAAGACTCAATGAACTACCGCTCTCACAGCGCCGTGTTAGTTCATTGGGAACTACAAGCCAACATCCGCTAAGGATCTCGGGACTTGTAGTCCATTCATTCACAGAACACTGTGGATAAATGACGTGGTCAAGTCCGGACACTTTCACCCCCTTCCAGTCCACGCCAATTTTCAGCTATCGTGTTTTGAGTGAAAATTACTCAATCATGCAACACTGTACCCATATGAAATTTATATCCTTTTTTATTTATTTATTTATTTTTGAGACAGATGCAGTTTTCTTTTGGTGCTATTTGATCACCACTGGGCTTTTTCATTTTTTGCTATATAAATGAAAATATACCACAAAGTTTGAAAAAAAAAACAAACAAATTTTTTGGTTTAGTTTTTTTTTGTTTTATATAATTTTGCAAATAGATAATTTTTCTTCATACGTTTAGGCCAAAATGTATTCTGCTATATTTTTTTGGGTAAAAGTAACCCAAAACAGTTTATATTATTTAGTCTGTGTGAAAGCTATAGAATCTACAACCTATAGGATATATATTTGAAAATTGATTAGTTGAGATCCTAAATGCCAGACACTGGTATGGCATAGGGCAGTGATCAGGACGCTATGTTGGACGCAGGTATGTTGGTGATCAGGACATTAGCATGAGTTATGGCGGTGATCAGGACGCTGCAACAGTGGATATAAAAATTCTACACACCTCTGTTTAATACGGCAGGTTTCTGTAATAAAAAATGAGACAAAGCTAAATAATTTCAGAACTTTTTTCCACCTTTTAATGTGACCTATAAACTGTACTAATCAGTTGAACATCAAACTGATATCTTTTGTGGGGGGTAGCTGTGTTCAGAATTAAGCAATCACATTATTAATTATGTTAAATGGGAGTCAGTACACACCTGCCATCATTTAAAGTGCCTCTGATTAACCCCAAATAACATTCAGCTGTTCTAGTAGGTCTTTCCTGACATTTTCTTAGTCACATCCTACAGCAAAAGCCATGGTCTTCCGCTTCCAAAGCATCAGAGGGGTCTCATTGTTAAGAGGTATCAGTCAGGAGAAGGTTACAAAAGAATGCATTAGATATACCATGGAACACAGAGAAGACAGTCATCATCACGTGGAGAAATATGGCGCAGTGACATTACCAAGAACTGGACGTCCCTCCAAAATTGATGAAAAAATGAGAAGAAAACTGGTCTGAAGTCTCCCAAAAGCATGTGAGTAAATGTGTTATTGTCTGATGAAACCAAGGTTAAACTTTTGGCCATAATTCCAAAAGAAATGTTTGGCGCAAAAACAACACTGCACATCACCAAAAGAACACCATACCCACAGTGAAGCATGGTGGTGGCAGCATCATGGTTTGGGGCTGTTTTTCTTCAGCTGGAACTGGGGCCTTAGTTAAGGTAGCGGGAATTATGAACAGTTCCAAATATCAGTCAATATTTGTATAAAACCTTCAGACTTCTAGAAAGTTTAACATGAAGAGGAACTTCATCTCCTAGCATGACAGCGACCCAAAGTATACATCCAAATCAACAAAGGAGTGGCTTCATCAGAAGAAGATTAAAGTTTTGTTATGGCCCAGCCAGAGCCCAGACCTGAATCTGATCGAAAAATCTGTGGGGTGATCTGAAGAGGGCTGTACACAGGAGATGTCCTCGCAATCTGACAGATGTGGAGTGTTTTTGCAAGAAAGAGTGGGCAAATATTGCCAAGCCAAGATGTGCTGACAGGCTCGTACCCAAAAGACTGAGTGCTGTAATAAAATCAAAAGGTGCCTCAACAAAGTACTAGTTTAAGGGTGTGCACACTTATGTAACCATATTATTTTAGTTTTTTATTTTTACTTCCCTCCACCTAAAAGATTTCAGTTTTTTGTTCAACTGCGTTGTACAGTTTATAGGTTACATTAAAGGTGGAAAAAGTTCTGAAATTATTTCGGTCTCATTTTTTTACATCACAGAAACCTGACATTTTAACAGGGGTGTGTAGACTTTTTATATACACTGTAGCAGCATCCTGATCACCGCCACATCTCGTGCTAATGTCCTGATCACTGCCATGCCCCATACCAGCATCTTGATCACCACCATACCAGCATCTTGATCACCGCCATACCAGCATCTTGATCACCGCCATGCCCCATACCAGCGTCCTGATCACCGCCATACCCCATACCAGCGTCCTGATCACTGCCATACCCCATACCAGCGTCCTGATCACTGCCATACCCCATACCAGCGTCCTGATCACTGCCATACCCCATACCCCCTGATCATACCAGCATCCTGATCACTGCCATACCCCACACCAGCGTCCTGATCACCGCCATACCCCACACCAGCGTCCTGATCACCGCCATACCCCACCGCCCTGATCACCGCCATACCCCATACCAGCGTCCTGATCACCGCCATACCCCATACCAGCGTCCTGATCACCGCCATACCCCATACCAGCGTCCTGATCACCGCCATACCCCCATACCAGCATCCTGATCACCGCCATACCCCATACCAGCATCCTGATCACCCCCCAGCGTCCTGATACCCCATACCCATACCAGCATCCTGATCACCGATCCCCATACCAGCATACCCCATACCCCATACCAGCGTCCTGATCACCGCCATTACCCACCAGCGTCCTACCCGCATACCAGCGTCCTGATCACCGACCCCCATACCAGCATCCTGATCACCCCCCATACCCCATACTAGCATCCTGATCACCCCCATACCAGCGTTCTGATCACTGCTATACCCCATACCAGTGTCCTGATCACCCCCATACTATGTCCTGATCAGGACCCTGGCAGTGATCAGGATGCTGGTATGGGGTGTGGCGGATATCAGGATGCTGGTATGGGGTATGGCGGTGATCAGGATGCTGGTATGGGGTATGGCGGTGATCAGGATGCTGGTATGGGGTATGGCGGATATCAGGATGCTGGTATGGGGTGTGGCGGATATCAGGATGCTGGTATGGGGTATGGCGGCGATCAGGACACTGGTATGGGGTATGGCGGCGATCAGGACACTGGTATGGGGTATGGCGGCGATCAGGACACTGCTATGGGGTATGGTGGTGATCAGGACATTGGTACGATGTATGGGGGTGTTTTGTGTGCACTGGGACATGTGATGGGGTCTTCCTGCATTATTTCTTATGGGCCTTGTGGGGCAGTGTTTAGGGACACATGGGGCACTAAATTGGGGTGGCTGGCACTGCAGTGTGTGAATGTACAAGTAGCCTGACAGGCTGCTGTACACTCACACACTGTAGGATTGCTTCTCTCTGCTCTCACAATGAGAGCAGAGAGAAAGTGATCTTTACTTTGAGTTTCAATGCTTACTATGTGACTGCTGTGATTGGTCACAGCAGTCACATGGTAGAACATCACGTGATCGCCCGAACACAGCTGTAATGTGATCCTCCGTGTCTGGGCAACACACCGATCACCGGGCCATCAATGCGGGCTGACGTTCAGGAAAGAGGTTAAAAAGTGACAGCTAGTAAAGGGAACTTCTTCCTCTACTGCTGTCACAAGGAGGGGATAGGGCGGAATCAGGCAGCGGTAATGGGAACATGTTATACATTCTACCTTAAGGTCACATCAAAGCCGACATTGAAATAGTGCGACTTACTGTGAAGTCACACGATTTCAAAATCGGGGGGCATGCCGATTTCAGTTGCAATTTGCAAGACATCTGACAGATGTCTATGCAAATCGCAGCAAGAGTAGTGCATGTACTACTTTAGAAAGTGGTGCGGCTACGACCAAGTCGGAACCGCAGAGATATGACCGCTGTAATAGCGGACAATAGGGTGCAGCTTGGCATATGAATTGCAAGTTGCATGGCATGCAAACCGCATGCCAAATCGCACCCGATGTGATCGGGGTGTAAAACCGGTTTGTTTTTTCTCATAAGGCCTAACCGTGATAGTGTTCTATTAGTGCTGGAAGTTGTAAAATACTGCATTACATACAGAGAAAGTTAAAGCGGAGCTTCAGTCCCTCAGTCAACGTTGACTGTTTTAGTCCCTATGTTGCTAGTATTAGTATATAGATAGGAAAGTAGATCATATTTACTTGTTTTAAACTAATTTAATTTTTTTTTTAACATTTCTTCAGTTACTTCCTGGTTTCCATTCCTAGGCAAATTACTGTCATACATCCCTGGAATCTTCAGGAGTGGAGGAAGGCATGCTTGAGCTAAGGGCAGGTGGATTCTAGGAAGTAAATGCTACATGAATCATCTGCCCTTACTCAAGATGGCCAGGGCCAGAAATGCTAGGGGGTATAGTTCTCAGCAAAATAAAGCATGGAGACATTACTGTATGGGGGAGTTTACTTTCAATATTAAATAGGATTTTTGGTTGTGGTGCTCAGATACAGTTTGGTTTTGCTTTAAGTAAAGTGTGTTCTGTATCTAATTTGAGATTTAAGAGACCTTTGTAGATAAGGTGTGATATCCAATAAATAGGCAACTTTAGGAATGTATGAAGATTCACAAGTGAACAGATTAGAGAACATTTGTATCTGTAGGCATTTAAATGTTGTTTTTTTTTTTTTTTTAATGGATTTTTTTTTCTTTTGTAGACTTTGGCCCCCCTCTGAAGAACAGCTGTGGTGCATTGCTTTTCAGAAGGTGGTTGACAGGAGGCTGGAGGGCGATTTGTCACCTCTACGCTGTCTGTCTTAACCTTCCAAAGGTCAACCCACTGTGCTGCAACCACGTGCATTACATGCATTTGTGGTGTGGCCCTATTACCTTGAATGTGTTGTGTTCAGCGGCAGTACCGCCACCACACACAACAGGGGGTTTTAACTCTGAGCAGCTGCATGTCTTTCGGTTTAGGTTCCCAATCGGGGGTTAGGGGGAACATTAAAACAGCACCTCAGTTGCCTGATAGCAAAGGAACAAAGCAGCAGACAGAAATCTGGTGCTCCGGATTGAGACAAACACACACTGTATAGGGATATACTTTGTTCATATTTCATGTCTGAGGTTTACAACCACTTTAAGGTGCATTCAAACTGCAGGCAGTAAAGGTCAAACACTGTATTTTCCATTTGATTGCAGCTGCATGCATTTGAATATTAAATTCCACACTTGACTAGAACACCTAATGACATGAACCCTGAGGATCCATTCACATTGGTGTGCAGTATACGAAAACCTGTATTTTTTTGTAGGTACGATGAGGTGTCATTCATTCTAATTGGCACCCCAGTGCATCTTACTAACTCATATATGATGCAAGGCACCTCGACACATGGTAACTGGTGCACTACATGTGGGGGAAAAAAAGGTACGTGTACCTTGACTGTCGCAAACTAATAAAAAAAAAAAAAATTCATATTCTGATGTGTGTTTAGCATAAGACAGAACAAGGAGCAGTTGTTACATGCAGAGTGTGCAAACACGTATGTCATGTCACCTGAGCAGAAACCATCTCTTAGCTGATGAGACAACGTAGGGCTCTGGTTGTGCAGGGCTCTGGTTGTGCAGGGCTCTGGTTGTGCAGGGCTCTGGTTGTGGAAGGCTGTACAGTGGTGGTTGAGTGATTGCAAGACTGAAAAACTACATAACTGGGCTGCCAATGATTGCCAGCTGTGCTTGTGCTTTTTTTAAGGTTGGTGCTGGGAGAAATGGCACAACACATCATGCTGTTAAGATTTTTTTTCACTTTCATTTTTTTTTTTTTTTTGGTAGAACTTTATTGAAATTTAACAAATGTCATTTAATTTGGTCTTAGTCACAGCAGTGACATTGAGATGCGGTAATTTTTTCAGTGCATATCACTGCAATGCAATTTCCAGTATTTGAATGTGAACCTGCATTTTGCCAAGAATGCTGTATTGTTAATTTGAGGGGGGGGGAGGGGTTTTGGAATCTCCATGGTTTCAGCCATGGAACCTGATAGGATGCAGTTGCTGTTCAGCTGATAATTTTCCACCTGTTTCAGTCCATTAAGACAAAATTTGTCAGGATTGCTGGGCAACTCACAGCTTGAATTTTGTCCGATCCAGCATGCTTGTAGCATGATTGTAGCCGTATTTGTGCACTAACCCTCTTGTATTGTAACTGTACTGTCTCCCTTTATATTGTAATGTGCTGTGTAAACTGTTGGCGCTATATGAATCCTGAATAATAATAATAACTTGCAGCAACATAGTTGAGTCTAGCCCATGATAATTGAATTTTTTGCATTAATGGTTACATTTTTGGGACAAGCTCTCTGGGGCCATCATAAGACGTCTTCCGGAACGGGTCGTGCTGTGGCCCGATCTGTCACCCACTGTGTCCATCATGCACAGCGGATGACCGATCAGTGTACCGGCCACTGCTGGTACCATGTGATCACTATGACTAATCACAGCAGATCACATAACCATTGTATACAATGGATGGCTTTCATTCATGCCATCCATTGTGTACTATTCTGTTGATCTCCGGGGTTGGTCACAGTGATCACATGGTACAGACAGGGCCAATCACAGCCCATCTGTACCATGTAATTAGCTGTGGCCAATTATGTAAACTCAAAAGGAATAGTCGGTGCTAGGGGGAAAAAAAAGGAATATTGACTCAGCTAGCAAGCAAGGTAAGGCAGTCTCCTATCCATTTACTAACCAGGCCTGATCCTTAGCTTGGTAAACAAACCCCAATGTAAAATGTGATCACAAAACTGCAGCACCTAAGTGATCAAGAATGGATATAACAATCTTATAATCAAAAAGGAAAGTGTAAATAATGTACATGTGACAAAAGTAACCAACAAAAACGTGACTTTAAAAAGTCCCACAAACATGTTACTCTTCATAGTGTTAAATAATAACCCCAACAGTCGTCCATATGTAGTATTCATCCAACAGTCCAAATATATCCAAACCACCACCTTTGCACACTCACCAGCTATTAAGCTGCATTAGAAAGGCAGCAGACTGCATTTTTAGCACAGACTGGGCATCACAGTATGGGAATCCATCCGCATTGTAGTCCTCTGCTCGCCCAGGGGGCCACTAGCACCACCGATATATCAAGCCTAGGAGGAATGCTCACCATACTGGAGCAACAGAAAAAGGTATATAGTGTAGTAATATGTTCATATAATCAGCCTCTATCCATCCATATAATCCATTCACCAAAGATACAGGTATAGCAGAGTGTAAATCTACCCATGTGGGGACATTCACTTATTAGGATGGTCGTCAGTCCCAGAAGCGGACGCGGCGGTGTGACGTCAGGAACTACGGGTCATGTGTTTGTGGGACTTTTCATGCATATTTTAAAGTCACATGTTTGTGGGTTATTGTTGTCAAATGTATATTATTTACACTTTCTGGTTTTTGATTATAAGATTATTATATCAATTCTTAATCACTTTGGTGCTGCACTTTTGTTTTCCCAGCTAACCATAATAATAAACACTATTACAATGAATTAATCAATTTCATTCAGTAAAAATGGTTGCTTATAACAGTAAAATTCACTGGTATAAGCAATCGTAATGTGAAAAAAAAAAAGAAAAAATCCTGATCACTTCCCTAGAGTAGTACAATGTTACTGTGATAACACTATTGCTCTGGTCACAGTGTGTTGAAAAAAATGTTAAAAAGGGAGAAAAAAAAAATATATTATATATATATATATATATATATATATATATATATATATATATATATATATATATATATATATATATCTCTCATAATATACTGTCACCAGTCAGTGTCCCTAATCACTGCAACACCAATTATACGATGACACTGTATTAGTGCACTAGTGACGGTATGTAAAAAAAGGACAAAAAAAGTGAAGAAAAACTGTTTAAAATGTCATTTTCCAAAAAAGTGTGACAAAAAATTACAAACACCAAAAACTCATCATGCCTCTTACTAAATACCTGGGACTGTCTACTTTCCAAAAAGGGGTCATTTGGGGGGTATTTGTACTGTCCTGGCATTTTTGGGCCTTAAGAAAAGAGATGGGCCATCAATACATTATAATTGATCTATATATATATATTTTTCATAGTTTGTGGATTCTATAACTTTCCTACAGACTAAATCCTATGCCCTTATTTGGGCATAATACAGTTTGGCCTAAATTTATGTAAAATGATTATTTATTTGCAAAATTTTAAAACAGACTAAGAAAGGGGCATTTTTTTTCAAAATATTCGGCCTTTTATCATTTAACAAAAAATAAAAAAAAAACCTCATTGGTGATTAAATACCACCAAAAGAAAGCTCTATT